CCCCCACCCGCTGCACCTGGCCGCGCCGCGCTGCCCTCCCCGCCGGGCCGTCCCAGGCTGCCCCGCGCAGGCGCAGTGCGGCCCGACCCGCTCTTAAAGGGCCAGGAGCTCTCCTGGCCGGGGTGGGGGGGGGCGGTTTGGAACGCGCGCCGCGGCGCAGCGCACGTGTGTCCGCTAACGCGGGTTAGGCGCCGGGCCCCTGCCAGGCCTAGACTGCACCCTAGGAGGGAGCAGCCCCCAGGGCAGGTGCATGCACCAGGCCTTGGGGCACTGGCGTTGAGCCTCTTGTGTGGGTGCAGCCAGCCATCAAGACCCCGAGATGATGCCTTCACCTTGACCTTGGGGCAGGTGCCGGGGGCACTGTTTTCGCTGCTATGGGACCTAAAGGAGGGCACGTGAATTACTGCACCAGCAGGCCGGGGCATCCTGGCCCTGCAGGCTAACAGCACAGGGTCTCGAGGCGGGCAAGCGGCTGAGCTGGGCTCTGGGTCAGACACCCCCTCACTGCCAAGGAAACAGGGAGGACAAGGGGTATGGAGGAAGACACTGATGAGGCCAAGGCCTGCTCCACTGAGAGAAGAGATGCCCGATCAGGGGCTTGAGAAGGGCCTGCAACATACTCAGCAGTGAAGACAAGGTGTGTCGAGATCATTGACTCTTGCAGTGCAAGGGTGAGGGGTCACAGCACAAAACCAGCGGGCCGTCAGTTTACAGGAAACACCCAGCGTGGCATTAAAGGGTGGGACTCGTGGCCAGCAGCTGTGGTGGAAGCTAAGACTTCAGCCAGATTCACCAAGGGGGTGGACACGTGTTTGGAGGAAAGGGGCATTAGGAGCTATTGAGCAGGGGAATGAGGGGCAAGGCCTCTGACTGAGGCCATCCCAGACCTTAAATGCTGGAAGCTGCAAGTGGGAGTGGAACAGGGAGGAAAACCCTGGTCTCTCCCTTCGAGACCCCCATGTGACACACCAGCCCGGGGGCAAGATGGACCTGTGGTCTAACCCAGTTGGTGACCCCCGTCTTACCCACATCCAGAGCGCCTGGGTCCTCCTCGCTGCGTCCGGCCTCTCCTCGCACAGGAGCAGCAGGCCCAGCCCTGCCACGTCGGCCCACGCAAACATTCACCTGCACATCCCAGCTCTCACAGGCTTCAGCTAATCCGCCCCAGGGCTTCCCCGCCCTCCCAGGCAGAGAATCTGCCTTAATACCTCCCCTGCAGCCCTTCAGGCCCTGTCAAGCGCTGGCTCCTTGGAGAAGATCCGTACCATGCTTAGGTACAGCACCTGGCACAACAGGCCATGGGGATGCTCTCCCATGGTTGCAGGGGCTAGTGCAGTGCTAACGACTGTGGCAGGCTGCAGTGCAGTTTTATTAAGCTGCCGCAAGGCCAAGATTCACACTGCTGTGCGGCTTCCCACCCTCCGGGGCCGTGGCAATGAGGAAGGCCGTTTGGCTCCCAGCGTGTTCCTGCCTCAGTGCATCTGTGACAGGCAGGTGCCTGCAGCTGCACGTTCATCACCTCGCCTGCAGCCGAGCCAGCCCCAGACAGGGCTGCAGAGGCTGGCAATGCAATTGCAGAGAGAGCTGTTTTTCGCCTTTCGCCCAGGTTGGCTGCATTAGCTGCTCGCTGGCCGACTTGGGACCAAGCAGCCTCGGGTCTATCCGTTGGGACGTTGGTACTGTTGTTATATAGCCCACGGAGCAGAAAAACAGTTTGAGTGTAGGATTCACTGAGCTGGGAGACCTACTCCAGCAAGGGCGGGGCAGCTGCATGGGAAGGATCAACACCAGCATCCAGGCTGACCGCGAGGAGGTCTTCTCCGAGGAGGGGGCATTTTCAGAGGGCTGAGGCTGTTCTCAGGGACAGAGACACGGCACCAGGTAGAAGCGTTCACACGTGATGTTTATTGAACAGACCCCAGCTAAGTACCCCGTGCCAAATCTCAGCACCAGGGAGGAAGGCCTGCTGAAGACAAGCAGCCTCCACTTCATTCCTGCCCATTACAAAGCATAATGAACACACAAAGTTTTGACACCAAGGAAATGCATGCAAGTGCTACGGCGAGGCCTTGCCCACAGGACAGCATTCACACCTGCTAAGTGCGACTGGGAGTGGAGGGCACCACTGGAAAGCAGCGGCAAACCAGGCGGTTACATGCATCAAGGCTAAGGCAGTCATGGCTACCACCATGCAGTGGAGGACCCAGACAAATGCATGTGCCTTCCACAGTGGCCAGGAGTTCCTACCCCTTTCAGCAAACAAGGTTATTTGGGTTTGCATTTAATAAAAGAGATCACATGTACCCAAATAACCTTGCCTGCCTATGTCCTTAGACCAACACAGCTACAATCAACACCCCCAAGCCCCTTTCAGCTACACTTATGGGGGCTACATGGGTTTTGCCCTCCAATGCCGAGACGTTTTCTTTCTGCCATTCCTTATGCTGGTTCCCTGAGACCAGACCTGGCCAAGATCTGCAGCTTCACAAGTAGTCACAAAAAGAACTGATTCAACCACCACCTTGTCTTAGAAAGAGGCAGACCTCTTGACAGGGTGCATTCCTGGCTGTAAGCTGGTCTGATGGGCCAGGAAGGTACCGATACATACAGACGTACGGGTTAGAAACCACAGACCTTCCCATCATGTTGATTTTTCCCAGGGAAGAGAACTGGGAGGCTCCATTTCACAAAGCAACCTGCTTCCTGAGATTACCCATTAGGCTTTAAATTTCAGCAGTACCTATTTCTGCAGAGCCCTTCCAACAGCAAAGCTGCCACTACTCCCCGCACCCAACTAAGCACATTTATTGCAAGACAGTTCACTAAATCATACAGCCCTAAAGAAAAAAAAGCCTTAACAACTCTAAAAACATTTAAACCCTAGTCATGCGACCACCTAGAGGGAATCACTTCAAGACAGCACAACTACGGGGAACAGCTAAGCCTACAACAGAGTGGGTCGAATTTAATACCTGCACCACCACAAGGAGAGTGAAAGACAATGATTGCAGGGAATTGATACCTGTTAGATACTAACCATCAAGCTTGGTAGATGTCACTGCATGAGAAGCATAGAACGATTATGGGAAACACTGTCCCCGATAATGACATACACCCTTAGTGCAACATATGGAGATCACTGCCTCCGATATAACACCGTGGTAGGCAAAAACTACCTTGTTCTTTATCCATTATGGAAGACACTGCTCCCGATAATGTCAGTTAGGTTCTCCCGAGACATTAGGTACTGGAATTTTTGCAATGAAGCCGCTTAAGAACAGCCTGACCTTGCAGTCCGAGTCTGGATTTGATTCCATCAGAGCTCCGGAGGAATTTGGAAAGATGCATTTAATGCCTTTAATGGAAGGAGCATCATCTGCCAAGCTCTGCCTGCTATAGTCAATTTAGCAAGCTGCATGTGTTGTACGTCACAGCAGTCAGCAGAAGCAAGGAGAGCGCTCCAACCAGGCCTCCTAGCAGATGAGCCCGATTCCTTGTCCCATTTTAGTCTGCATCATGCATTTCAGGGGGTCGCTGAAGACCCAAAGCATCTGGACCCCTGGATGATGCTCAAGTCTTAGGACTGCTTCCAGGTGCATTATAGCATGTTCCTTTGGGCACAGAAAGCTGGTCTGTCAATTAGCTTTCCGCCAGATGCTTCGTTGTTGAGAGTCTGACTGCAAAATTCCAGTACTATGTTCGATTTAATAGCAGATGCTGCTTTATTCAAAAACGACAGTATAACTGTCATAATTATGGAAGGCACTGCTTCCGATAATTATCTTCTATAAAAAAACCAATCAAACCCCATTTATAGTGAACTCTGTCACTGATAAATAAATAAAAACACAAATAAATATCTCAGTGCCAAACGAGTGCCCTCCTGAGAGTTTTCCCAACATTTTGGCCAATGATTTGGCTAGCAAGACATTCTGGGTTTTAAGAGAGGCCTCAAAAGCAACAGGGTCTGAAGTGCCCCTTATAGCCATCCCAAACTCTGGTTACTAGGGGACCTTTTATTTTTATTCAGAAGACCAAGTGGGAACATGTAAGGGGCATAAGATAAATCTTTGGCTCATCTTCCCCTTGGGACCCAGAGCTTTGGGAAGAGGAACATGGTCTTGAGTCTTGTCTTCTCAGGGCAGCCAAGATGTTTCTGCCCAGTCA